TGAAGCAGCCGGGCAGCGGCTGCTACCTGGGACTGGACCGCCGGTCCGCAGGCGAGTGCCACGGCGTACAACACACCAGGGATCTGCCATCGCCACCTCCACGAAAACTGGTGTTCACAAAGCGAAAGCCCCAGAGCACCTTACGATGCTTACTTCACAAAAAAGAAGCCGTGCAAGCCCAGACACCAGGAAGGTGAGGTCTTCGACACAAAGAGAAATATGAGATTTCAGAGCAGCGCAAGGTTGACCAGGAAGCTGTGGACTCACACATTTTACCAAAAATCAAAGCTGTTCCTCAGCTCAGGGCTACCTGTGGTCTGTGTCTGCCCTTACAAATGGAGCTTATCCTCACAAATTCGTGTTCTAAATTTCTTTTTTTGGAGAGGTTTATTTGCTATACAGAGAGAGAGAAATCACCCCTGGGGGGGATGATCACGCCATAATCCCTTCTCCTCCATTCTCCTCTTGGGATCTTGGGCACGCATGCACATGTGCCCGGCGTGAGTTTTAAGCCATTGGGTCCGGGACATGAACTGCGGCCGACTACGTGGGAATTCAGCGACATAGCCATTATGCCAACTGTTGGTCCCAATAAAATAATTCTTAAAAAAAAAAACAAATTAATAAAAATCAAATGGAAGGGGGCGCAGCCCATGACACAGTGGTTAGGGTGGTTGCATTCCACATGGCAGAGGCTCCGTCTGAGTCCCAGACCTGGTGGCTTGAGAAACACACTGCACAGTTTGAAGTGTGCACACGCCCAGAGTCCTGAGAGGGGGCGACGGGGATGGGGTTAGCGTGGCCATGCCCTGTGGAGGGTGCACTCATGCTTTCTCTCGGTGTGTGTCTCTCCATCAAGTAAGTACACACTCTCTGGCAAAATTAAAAACAACAACTCCGTCTGAGTCCCAGACCTGGTGGCTTGAGAAACACACTGCACAGTTTGAAGTGTGCACACGCCCAGAGTCCTGAGAGGGGGCGACGGGGATGGGGTTAGCGTGGCCATGCCCTGTGGAGGGTGCACTCATGCTTTCTCTCGGTGTGTGTCTCTCCATCAAGTAAGTACACACTCTCTGGCAAAATTAAAAACAACAACTATATATAATATATACACACACACACACACACACACACACACACATTTTATATATTTTATACGTTTATATATATTTATATACATTTTATAATGTGTGTATATATGTATGTGTGTATAATAATTATATATAATTATTTAATCTTATTTATTCATTCATTTATTTTTATTTTTTTAAAATTATTTACTTATTTATTTATCCATTCATTTATTTTTTTTAATTTGACCAGAGTTAGACATAGAGAGAGAGAGGGAAAGTGAGAAAGTGAGCCACCAGGTCCAGGACTTGAACTGTGGTCAGCCATGTGGGAGCGTCCAGCACCTTAACCACCACGCCACCTGCTGGTCCCATTTATTTTAATTTGAGAAGAGAGAGACACACACAAAGAGAAGGAAAGCAAGAAAGCAAGCCACCAGGTCCAGGACTCGAACCACGGTCGGCCATGTGGGAGTGCCCAGCGCCTTAATCACGCCACCTGCTGGCCCCACAACTAACTCTCTCTCTCCCTCCTTCTCTCTCTCTCTTTTTATATATATATATATATATATTTTGTTGTTGTTTTGTTTTGTTTTTGAGAAGTTTATGCTACAGGGCACATGCGCTCGGCAGAAAGATAGACAGTGACAGATAGAAAGCGAGAAATCACCCCCTACGGAGGATGGCCATGCCACAATCTCTTCTCCTCCATTCTCTTCTAGGGATCCTGGGCAGGCACACACGCATGCACACATGCATGCATGCACGCACACATGCCCGGCGTGAGTTTAAGCCACTAGGTCCATGACTCGAACCGCGGTCGACTACATGCGAGTCCAATGACATAACCATTACGACAACTGCTGGTCTCCAAACTATATATTTTTATACCTTATATATAGAGTATAAAAATAAGTCTAGGGACCAGCAGTTAGCATAATGGCTATGTCACTGAACTCCCATGTGGTCGACCGTGGTTCGAGCTCCGGACCCAGTGGCTTAAACTCATGCCGGTGTGTGTGTGCGTGCCCAAGATCCTGAGAGGAGAATGGAGGAGAAGGGGTTGCAGTAAGGGGTTCCAGCGTGGCCATCCCCCGCGGGGGATGATTTCTCACTTTCTGTCTCTCTGTCTGTCTCTGTCTTTCTGGCAAGTGCAGGCAGCCTACAGCAAAAAAAAAAAAAAGTCTTGGGCTGGCCCCACAGTGTCATGGTTATGGGGCTGGGTTCCACAGGACCAGACAGTTTGAAACCTGGCCCTGGTGGCTTGAAACACATGCTGGGTACAAGTGCATGCATGCCCAAAACCCCAGCAGGAGAGAGGGAGAGGGCAGGAGGGGGCCTGGGGCAGAGGGGACCGCAGCAGGACCGCCTCGCGTCAGACGGGCCTGCTCTCTCGCCCTCTGCCTGTCCCTACGCTGCTCTCTGGTGAGCACACGTCTGACAGGGAGAAAACAATCTGAGTGGCCTTCTCTTACCAAGAGGCCTCTCTGCTTGGTTTCACGACTGCCCAATGTACTGCACATTCTCAGACAGACACCCACACACCTGACTGGCTTCTCACCTTCGCCTGCCGTCTCCCCAAAGCCCCTCGTCACGTTCCACACATGGAGACTCCCCGCCCCCACACGCCTGTCACTAACTTACTCCTTTTGTGCACTTGGTTGCTGCTTTTTTTTTTTTCATTTTGCCAGAGGGTACATGGAGACTTGGGACAAGGGGGCATGGGAGGGTGGGGTGAGGGACGGGAGTGGGAGCCCCTAGTGGGTGTGGGCACTGCACGCTGCATTCCTTGTCTCCCACTTCTCCACTAGGGTTTTTTGGGCACATGCACACATGCCAGGCATACTCTCTCAAACCACTAGGGCCAGGATTCACATCTTGGTCTGCTAAGTGAGATCCACCTATTTCACTTAACTTTATTTATAATTATTATTTTATTTTGACCAGAGAGACAGAAAAAAAAGAGAGAGAAAAAAAGAGAGAGGGGAAAGCGAAAATGCAAGCCGCCAGGTCCAGGACTTAAACCGTGGTCGGCCATGTGGGAGTCCAGCGCCTTAACCTCCACGCCCCCTGCCGGCCCCCAGATCCACCTCCTTTAACCACTGGGTACAAGGCTGGCCCAATTTTGACTTGTTTCTATATCTGCTTTTCCTAAGTTCCCTGAAGACCCTGAGCAGGCAGAGCCCGGCTTGGTCACTGTTGTGTCTCCCCTCCTTCCCTTCCCTGCCCTTCCCGTCTTTCAGTTTCGCCCGAGGGTGCGCGTGTAGTCTGGAGCCTCGTACTGATGGAGAGCCCAATTACCCACTAGCTCATAATCTCTGGTTCACACAGACATGGAGGGAGATGCTCACTCTACATCTGAAAGAGCAACCGCATCAACACTGTAAGAGACAAGGCAGCTCTGTCCTCTCCTCCCGTCTACTGAACGGAGGGAGGAGTCGCAGACACCGAGCCCTCTCCAAGGTGCGGGGCGACGCCTCCTGCCCCGCGGTCCCCGATATTCCTTCCGCCTCTGCCCCGTCTGACTCCCTACGCACCTGCACACACACGGACACCAGTCCCCTCACGTGTTCCCCCTACACACCTGCACACACATGGACACCCGTCCCCTCATGTGTTCCCCCTACGCACCTGCACACACACGGACATTCGTCCCCTCACGTGTTCCCCCTACGCACCTGCACACACACGGACATTCGTACCCTCACGTGTTCCCCCTACGCACCTGCACACATACGTGCATTTACCCCCTCACGTGTTCCTCTGTACGTCCCTGCACACATATGTACATTTACCCTCTCACGTGTTCCCCCTACACACCTACATACCTACATTTACCCATTTGTGTATTTATCTTTATGGAGATTTTTGCTATGGGACATCAGTGTTCTCCAGAAAGACAGAAAGTGAGAAATCTCCCCCTTGCCCGGCGATGGCCACGCCGCAGTCCTTTCTCCTCCATTCTCCTCTCAGGATTCTGGAAGCACATGTACATGCACCCGGTGTGAATTTTAGGTAGCTGGGTCCCAGACTCACACCACAGTGGACTAAGTGGGAGTCCAGCAATGTAACCATTATGCCATCTGCTGGATCTGACCATGTGGTCCTCCTGCCTCGGCCTCCCAGCTGGGACTGCCTTAGGGTACATACATTTACTGGAGAGAGACAGAGACAGTGAGCGGGATGGTCTAGGATGGATGGCCATGCCGTAATCCTTGTCCTCTCAGGAGCTTGAGCATACACCTGGTGAGTTTTAAGTCATGGGTCTGGGACTTGAACCATTGTTAGCCATGTGAGAGTCCAGTGGCATATGCTATGCCATCTGCTGGTCCCCAGCCCGGCTTTTTTTTTTTGAGAGGTTTTTGCTATAGGATGCATGTGCTTGCCAGAAAGACAGAAAGCGAGAATTCACCCCCCAGGGGGGATGGCCACGCCACAATCCTTTCTCCTCCATCTTCTTCTCGGGGTCTTGGGCACGCGCACACACGTGCTGGTGTGAGTTTAAGCCATTGGGTTCGGGACTCAAACCATGGTCAACTACATGGGAGTCCAGTGACATAGGCATTACGCCACCTGCTGGTCCTCCCAGCCTGGCTCTTTTTACGACAGAGCCTTGCTCGGTTGCCCAGGCCAGCCTCGGCATGGCCCCTTCCTCCTCAGCTCCCGAGTCAGCAAGACGGCAGGCCCACACCACTAGCCTGACCTTTAGGGACTGGGCCCAGACCAGGGCCTGTGGTCCCAGCCTGCACCGCAGCTTCTTCCCAGTAAGTGCTACCAACAGTGGGCCTTGGGTTTTCTTTAGAAGTACAATCAGGGGACCAGCAGGTGGCACAGTGGTTGAGGTGCTAGATCCCACATGGCCATTTGAGGCCCACACCTGGCAGCTTGAAAATCACGTTTGGGCAAGTGTGTGGCTGCACCTAAAGTCTCAAAAGAGACTGGAGATGGGACTGCAGCGTGGCCATCCTCCGGGGGTGATTTCCCACTTTCCCTCTGTCTGTCTCTCTCCAGCAAGTGTATGTGCCCTATGGCGAAATCAGGTACTATCTCACACACACGCACACGCACACACACACACACACACACAGCTGGCCCTGACAGAAGTCCACGAGGAAATGGCAAGTCCCCGAGACACTGCACGATGTGGCCGGACGGAGGGCGAGGTGTACACACCTGTCAGCGTGTAGAGGAACTGCTCTTCCCCCTGCTCTACCTGGCTCCTCCTGTTGTCCAGAACCTTCTTGACTGTGTCCATCAGGCCGAACGTATGCGCTACATTGTTGAGAACAGCAGCGTCTATTTAAAACAGAAGACATGCCTGTCAACTTAAAGCAGAAACACTTATAACATGCGACAACCCAGGACTTATGGGCACCCCAAATGCATTAAAATAAAAATTAACAAAGACTGATCATGTAATAACTTTCATTTTTTTGTTTTATCTTGTAAGTCTTCCCATAAAAGAAATAAATATATAATTATCTCTCTCCAAGTTCTGACTTTCTTTTTAAAGAATCACTTATTTGGGGGACCAGCAGGTGGTGTGGTGGTTAAGGCACTAAGGCACTGGACACTCACACATGGCTGACCCCGGTTCAAGTCCTGGACCTGGAAGCTTGCTTTCTCACTTTCCCTGTGTGTGTGTGTGTGTGTGTGTGTGTCTGGTCAAATTAAAATAAAATGAATGAATAAATAAAATTAAATAAAAATAATTCTTAAAAAAAAAAATCCTGGGGAACCAGCAGTTAGTGTAATCGTGCGTGCCCAAGATCCCGAGAGGAGAATGGAGGAGAAGGTATTGCGGTGTGACCATCCCCCCTGGGGGGTGACCTCTCGCTTTCTGTCTCTATGTCTCTCTGTCTCTGTCTGTCTGGTGAGCGTACGCGCCCTATAGCAAAAACCCCACCAAAAAAAAAAAAAAGAGAGAGAAAACTCCTATTTGGTGCCACAGGTGGCGCGGTGGGTGGCTAAGGGCGCTCGACTCCCACATGGCCGACTGCAGTTTGTATCCTGGACCTGGTGGCCTGCTTTCTCACTCCCCCATAGGCCACCCTGCCACTCTCTGGTCAAATTTTAAAATAGTAATAATCAGGAAGTCGGCAAGTGGTGTGGTGGTCGGGAGTGCTAGACTCCCACATGGCCAACTGTGGTTCAAGTCCTAGTCTGGGTGGCTTGCTTTCTCACTTTGTCTCTCTCACTCTGTCCCATTCTGGTCAAAATGAATGAATGGGGGCGAGCAGTTGGCATAATGGCTATGTCACTGGACTCCCATGTAGTCGACCATAGTTCGAGTCCCAAACCTGGTGGCTTAAACTTACACCGGGCGTGCATGCGTGTGTGCTCAAGATCTCGAGGGGGGACCAGCAGTTGGCGTAATGGTCATGTCGCCGGACTCCCATGTAGTCGACCACGGTTTGAGTCCTGGACCCGATGGCTTAAACTCACACCGGGCGCATGTGCGTGCATGCCCAAGACCCCGAGAGGAGAGGAGAATGGAAGAGAAACGGAAAAGAAGGGATTGCGATTGCGGCGTGGCCATTCCCCCTGGGGGGTGATTTCTCACTTTCTGTCTCTCTCTGTCTTTTTGGCGAGCGCACGCGCCTTATAGCGAAAACCTCTCCAAAAAACGAAAAGAATGAATGAGCGGATGGATGAATAAATACGTGGACATATACATAAATGGATAAATGAATAAACAAATGGATAAAGCTAAATAAATAAACAGATGGGTGAATGAAGTTAAATAAATAAATGGATGAAGTTAAATAATATAAGTCTTCAAAAAAAAAATAGTAACAATCAGGACCAGCAGTTGGCATAATGGTTATGTCACTGAACTCCAACAGTGGTTGGAGTTAACCGTGGTTCGAGTCCTGAACCTGGTGGCTTAAAACTCATGCCAGGTGCATGCCCAAAACCCCAACAGGAGAGTGGAGGGCGTAGTGGCCTCGCCAGCCCAGGGTGCCCTCTCTGCCTCGCTCTGGCAAGTGCACGGTCCTTGCAGTAAGAAGAACGGCATGGACCTTGGACCAGTAGCTTAACTTTTATAAACCTTGGTTTCCTTATCCGTGACACGGAGACGGTCACGCGACGTCCCAGGGGAGCCGTGACGGCTGAGGGCACGTGACGCTGCTGTCGGTGACGTACCCGTGACCTGGAAGGGAGCCTGGATGAGTCGTTGCTGCACCCCCCGGAGCAGCTCCTCGACCTCCTTCTGGATGTTGCAGACCACCTCGTCCAGCAGCCCCACGTCGGCTATGCCCTTCCAGAACATCACGGTGTCCTCTGCACAGGGGGTGAGACAGGGTGAACGAGGGCCCAACAGATACGCAGGCACACTCCCAAGGTGTGAAACTCGATCATTACGGCTAGAAAGGACTTCGCATAGCAGCACCTCTGGGAATGGGGAAGGAGCTCTGGAATATGGACTGCCCACCTGAGCCAGCATCTAACCATCTGGCCCCTTTAGCCACACAGGGGCTGGGGACGACTGCCTTGATTTCTGAGTCTGGCTTTAAACAAGCAGCTTCTTCCAATAAAGACGTGGGTGAAGGAGCCAGCAGGTGGCGCACTGGGTGAGGCGCTCCCACATGGCCGACCGGATTTCCAAGTCTAGACCCAGTGGCTTGAAAGTCATGCCAGGTGTGTGTGTGTGTGCCCAGAACCCGGGGAGAAAGGCAGAGAAGGCGCTTAGGCGTGGCCGTCCCCCAGGGGTGACGTGTCGCTTTCTGTCTCCCTGGCAATTTGGGGATTTGGGGATTTTGGGGTTTTGAGCGTGCCTGGTGTTGAGTTTTAAGCCACTGGGTCCAGAACTCAAACTGCAGTCGGCCATGTAGGAGTCCAGCACCTTAACTACCACGCCACCTGCTGGCCCCAATAAATAATTAAAACAAAAACCAGCCACAAAACTGAATCCATCAGTTCCAGCACTGGCTGTAGGTGGGTCTTAGGCAAGTTGATAAACCCTTCTGAATCCTGAGCCCTTCATGTGGAAAACATGACTTCTTGAGGATATAGCAGGGATTAAAACAAAATGTTTGGGGGCCAGCAGGTGGCTTGGTAGTTACGGTGGCTGGCTTCCACATGGCCGACTGCACGGTTCAAGTCTCGGGGCCAGCAGTGTAAGA